TTGAAATTTGAAAAATTGCTTATAATTTAATTGAAAAATTAAAAAATTAGCTTATAATAAATATTACTATTATAGAGACTAATATGGATGTTAACATGGAGAATATCACAAATGGAAACAACAATGAAGCAGCGAATGAAAACATTGCAGCAGCAAATGGGAACCTCATTGACCAAGATGAAGCAGCGAATAGAAACAATGCAGCTGCAAATGGGAACCTCATTAATCAAGATAATGAAGATAATAATTTTGAATTGTCCGCATATGTAGCCTTTAATGAGCTGAAGAATAAGGATGAGACGGCGTGAGCAATTTTTAATATACACATTTGTGATGAAATTAAAATTTTCATATTTTTTTATTAATGAAAAAAATGTCTTTTTTTGACAGTGAGATTCTTGGTTTTGTCGACGAAATTCATGCACCTGCAACTGTTGGTGCTACCAAAAAGTTTGAATTGTTCAAGTTTGCCTTGAACAATGGAAGTCACAGGAGGATAATGTGTCTGGTTTGGGGCCAGATATTAATTAATAAATTTGTCGGACAAGTAGCTTCTGGTCGCGTAAGTGCACTCTTATTTTATTTATTTTATATTTTCTCAAACAAATTTCTTATATATCATTTCATATTACATTACAGATACTTCATGTCGAAGGTGCCCACGTTAAGGCGGTTTCATCATTTTTCAAGGAGTCAAATAATCTTGTGCCCTATGAATTACTGATACGTGATACAACCGTAATTATTCATTTGGGTGATAGAAAAATTGCTGAACTTGAAAATAATGAAGTCGTACCAGATATTCAATTAGATGACATTGGAAAAGTTGAAGGCATCATTTCTAAGTGTTAATTTTTACTTATTAAAAATTTTTAGTACAGTTGGCTTTCTTACCCCCCCCCCTCTGTCTCTCCCTCTCTCTCTCTCTCCCTCTCTTTCTCTCCCTCTCTCTCTCTCTCTCTCTCTCTCTCTCTCTCTCTCTCTCTCTCTCTCTCTCTCTCTCTCTCTCTCTCTCTCTCTCTCTCTCTCTCTCTCTCTCTCTCTCTCTGAACATATTACAGTCGTTTCAAACAAAATTTACAGCTGTAGAAGGTCATGTAAAGATGCGCTTCGTAATAAGTCAGACTAGAAACCATAACGAAGTCGTTGGGGTAGGTTCAATAACTGATGGCCGAGCTAAAGTGACAGTCCACATCAGAAACTACGTTGGATTGGAAATTCAAAAAGGTGTCCACGTCAGGGTAATTGGAGAAGTGGATACAAAAAGTAAGTACAAATTAGTGATTATTAATTATTTATTGAGTGTATGGATTTTCATTGATGTCTTTTCATTTTCAGATGCAGGTGTGATCATTGTCTGCCGAAATCAAGATGCGGTTATTCCCATCCGAGATGCTCCTAATATGGGACAATTGGAACTGTCACGTGGAGTAAAAACACCAAAACGTAGAAACGAGTAATTAACTCTCATTTATATATTCTAAATATATCGATCGTCTTTCTCTTTTTCATTGCTCTCTTTTTTTTTTATTTCGCGTTTTAAGGCTTCAATCTTCAATACATTCAGAAATTTTCGGTATAATGCAAGCACTGTTATATATGAGTCATAGACATCAAAATAACGAGAAATGCATCTTGCCGTGGTACACTTTGTTGGATCATATAAAATCCTTTAGTTCGAAAGAGAAGCCTATCTTTTTTAATTGTGTTCTGAAAGTACGATGATTTAATTTAATAAGTAATAATATATTCATATTTCATTGAACATTACATTTCATTATTCTTTCATTAAATGTTACAGACTTGATATATCTAAATCTATGCAATAGTGTTAGATAAACGAATTAGACTGAAACATATGACTGAGTCATAACAGTAGTTACCAATTTTTCCAAAATAATTTTAAAAATAATTTTAAAAATAATAATTTTAAATAATAATGGAGTAACTTTTTCACGTACATTTTTTTAACATCTAGATAATTACTATCTTAGTAAATAACTTTTTTATGAAGCTGTCATTGTAATTTTATCTGTGATTTTATAGACACAATAAGAAATATTAATATTAAGTAGTATTAAATACATGAAGTGCCAAGTGAAGACTGCCAAAAAATGATGTATAAATAGCATTTATTGTGATATAACGTAAATAACGTAAAGTATTAAAATATAATACGTATATCTGTACTTCGGCAAAAAGTGTACTTAAAACTAATTACAAAATAATAACATAATTTTAATATTTATGACTACTGGAAATAACTGATCAGTTTGATTAAGATAAATAAATACATATAATACTAAGCGTTAAAAGAATGATGTAAGTTGATGTATATCCATAGATGCAAAAATGTATTTATATGTATAAATGTAACAATGTGTGTAATGTTATTGCGAATAATGAGTATATACATTAATAAAGGATTGTTTTAAATATATATTTTGTAAAAATCATTGAATGGATCCTCTTATCTCATAAATATTTTGTTAAGTGAAGAGCCAAATACTATATCGTTTCTTGCATGAAAATAAAGGAATCATCAATGTATTTAAATTAGAAAAAATATTTGAATCGCAATTTCAACTTTTAATTTGCTAAGGAAACAATATTTTAGAATGTGATGATAGTTTTACATTATTTAGACTTGGAATTGACTGTTATTTTTTGTACAGTGAAAGTAAAATTTAATAGATTTTTGTTGTTGAAAGAAATAGTCATAAAGTGCTACTTCATTATGTGTGTTTTTGTGTCAACTTTTAAATAAACTATCATAACAATATTTAATAAACTATCACACTCTAAAATATTATTCCTTAGCAAATTAACAGTTGAAATTGCGATTCAAATACTTTTTCTAATTTAAATACATTGACTATTCCTTTAATTTCATGCAAGAACTAATTTATTGTCTAAAGCTTTCTTATCTCTTTTTATACGTGAATTGAAATTATAAAATAGCACAAACGATATTGTATTTAACTCTTCATAAAGAACACGACTATATGTACATACATGTTATACGTATCAAGTTTTATTTGTCTCTTGCATACTCTTATTATAGATAATTTTACATAAATAGCATAGACATTTCTATGATCGATTAAGGGATAGCGATATCCATGTACCTTGCACAATTAGCGCTATCTTTCGTTTCACTTTTGCACTACATAAGTCCGGAAAAAATTGATATTCTGTTGGATTTTTTCTTACCTTATATTCACACTGTTCTACATGCTCGGCGTTCGACGACGCGAGTTCAAAGAGTATTCAAGAATCTTCGTCAGTTTTAACCGAAACTTACAAGATACGAGTAGCAAGCAAGAATTCAAATCTGCATTTCACTCGAGCTGTCAATTAAGAGTTGGTGGGAGGCAAGCAAATACAAGTCAAGAAAAAAATAAGTAAATTGGGCTATTGGGCTATTGATATAAAGCGAAGTCTCGATCTGTTGGTTGTTCTTTCATTGGCATTTAGCGTGCCCTCTCTTCAACATCCACATAAAGATCCAATAATATTGATTGTATGCAAATAAAAAACCGTAAGTAAGAAAATGGTTATTTCCATTATAAAGAGAAATATCATAAGCTATAATAATAAATAACATGTGCTTTGTTGCATTTTGTTCTCATAGGAAAAATTTGCAATTTTGCACACATTCCAATAAACTACAAGAAATTAGCGGATAATATTATGGAAAACTGATAATATTACATATTGGTGAGTTTCATCGAAATTGAGTTGATGCTCTACTTATGTACACAATTTACTTTTTCTTTCAATAAGTGACAGTTATCGACATTTTAATTAATTTTTTTTATTTTCCAGAGACAGTTTTTCACAATTGCAGAATTTATTATCATCCAAGAATACTCTTTTTGATTTTCATAGACAACTTTATGGTGAGTATAACAATATCACTCTTATGCATGCTTAGGTAGGTTTCTATCAATTATCCGATTGATTTTATTTGTGAACGATTCAGAATTTGTAAAAAATAACGTTGAACTGTCTTTGGGATTAAAAAAAAAACAAATGTCTATACTTCCCGCCGTTTTGGCTGACAGGCATAGGATATAATTTTATTTGTTGAATATTTTAGGGGCTATGAAAAATATATGTTTTGTTGAGAATCTGATTTTGTAACATAGAGTACGCATGGAACATTTACTAATACAAAGTCATATTTCAAATTATAGATTCATAATTTAATGTTTAACTGAGATCAAATGTGAACCAAAATACCTATTTTATGAAAAAGAATGTGTGTGTGTGTGTGCGTGTGTGTGTGTGTGTGTGTGTGTGTGTGTGTGTGTGTGTGTGTGTGTTACTTGAACGTTATAAATTAATAATTTGTTATAACTTTTTTCTGTTTCAGGGTCCAGATAATTGAAGAATTACTTATTTTATTGAAATGTTATGGTAATTGTATTATTACTATTTGAGCAGCACTTTTGTAATAAATAATAAAGTGATTATAGTAACAGTTAAATAAATAAATTGTCAAATATTGATTATTAATTCAATTTGTATTACATATTGTAAAAAATAAACAAAAAGAAACTTAACCTAACCGAACATTAACCAAAATAAGCCTAAGCCAAACCAAGCCTAAACGCCTAAGCCAAACCAAGCCTAAGCACCTAAGCCAAACCAAGCCTAAGTACCTATGGCCGAACCAAGCCTAAGCGCCTAAGCATCCAAGCCAAATCTAAGCACCTAAGTCAAACAAAAATAAACGATACAATCCCGTGACATTGAGTTGTGTCAAACAACACTTGATCACTTTTAGCCATTAAAATTACAAATACACTGGCTTCCCTTACCAAGCATTCAATTTTTATAGGAAAAAAACGAACAGAAAAAAAAAGTAATTAAATTTTGCGGGATATAATTTTGTTAGATGAAAATATTTTCTTTTATCAAAGTAATTCCATTTTGCGAAACAGTTTTTTCCATTAAAAACATTTTCTTTTTTTTCATAAATTAAAAAATATGCAATGGCTATTGTAAATGAAACAGGATCACCTGATATTTTTCTCACAATGACATGTAATCCTAATTGGCCTGAAATAACAGATAATTTGTTACCAGGACAACAGGCTTGTGACAGACCAGATTTAGTTGCAAGAGTTTTCGATTTAAAAAAAGATCGTTTACTTGACATCGTTATCAAAAAGAGTTTTTTCGGAAAAGTTGCATCTTTCGTTTATGTCATTGAATTTCAGAAAAGAGGATTGCCACATATACATTTATTAATTACACTAGAACAAGGATACAAAATTACTACACCAGACATTGTTGATAAATTTATATCGGCTGAAATACCTATCCAAATAAGAAATCCACGCTTATTTGATATCGTTATGAGGAACATGATTCATGGACCATGCGGCGATTGGTGTATGAAAGATGGAAAATGCTCCAAAAATTTTCCGAAATCATTTCAACAAGAAACTACTATGGATGCAAATGGGTATTCAAATTATCGACGAACTGATGACGGCGTTCAGTACGAACGTTCTAATGGACATACAGTAGATAATAGATGGGTTGTTCCACATTGTAGAGAATTATTATTGCTTTTCGATTGTCATATTAACGTGGAAATTGTATCAAGCATAAAAGCTGTCAAATATTTATACAAATATATATACAAAGGTCACGATACAGCAACAGTTGTAATTGGACAAGCAGAAAATGGTCCCACTATTGAGCACGACGAATGTCATAACTTCATTGAAACACATTATGTTGGCCCAGTTGAAGCGTGCTATCGAATTTTTAGTAAAAAAATGCAAGACAAAAGTCATACCGTTACACGATTACCAATACATCTACCTAATGAACAAGCGATATTGATGGTGCAAAACGAAGATGAAGCTTCATTATTAGCAAGTTTGAATAATTCAAGTAGTATGTTACTGGATTACTTTAAGTTAAATGTTCATAATATTTCAGCCAGACAATATTATTACAATGAAATACCAAAATATTTTACTTACAAGAAAACCAAAATTAATGGTACAGTTACTTCTTTGTGGGACACTAGAAAAAAACACTTCAAGTGTATAGGTCGCATGTATTCAGTGAGCCCCACACAAACAGAATTATTTCATTTAAGACTATTACTGTTTCATGTTAAAGGTCCAACAAGTTACAACGACTTAAAAACTGTTGACAACATATTGTACCCTTCATTTACTGCAGCTTGCTTAGCATTAGGAATTATTGAAGATGACGAAGAATGGAATAAAGCAATGAGAGAAGCAGTGACATGGATGATGCCTACGCGCCTTAGACTTTTATTTGTTCGTATATTGATTCATTGTCAGCCTGTTTATCCGGAAAAATTATGGGATACATTCAAAAATGCAATGTCTGAAGATTTTTCACGTAATAACGAATTGAACGTGAGCTATCAAATGGCTTATTCTGAAATAAATAATATTTTGATTAAGGAAGGAAAGAGTTTAGCTGATTTTCCAACAATGTAAATATCGTTGAAAATGAGAATGAAGATAGAAATCATCAGTATGAAATTGGCAATCAACAATATCTGCAATTAAATGACGAACAGAAATTAGTTGTTGATAACATTCTTCAAGCATCACGTTCTGATAATTATACTGGTTCAAATTGCTTCTACATAGATGGACAAGGGGGATCTGGAAAAACTTTTATTTACACTACCATTTACAATCTTTTAATGTCACAGAATATAAAATGTTATTCGATGGCATACACTGGCATTGCTGCTACATTGCTGCCAAATGGAAAAACAGTTCATAAAACTTTTGGTTTACCAGTGCCGATGTTCCATGATTTGTCGTCAAATATTAAAATACAATCTAAGGAAGGTATACTGTTGAAAAATACTAAAGTATTTATTTGGGACGAAGCACCTATGGCACCTCGATATGCTTTAGAAATCGTTAATAGAACATTGAAATATATCATGAACAATGATTTACCATTTGGAGGAAAAATAATCATTTTAGGAGGCGATTTTAGACAACTTCTTCCAATTAAAGTTAATGGAACGCGCAACGAAATATTAAATTTATCTATAAAAAACTCTCATTTGTGGTCTCTATTCTCAATCTATCAATTGAAAACGAACATGAGAGTCTTACCTAATGAAATAGAATTTGTTAGATATTTGTTGCATGTAGGTAATGGAACATTAAATGATCAAGATAATAATATACAGCTACCAAATCACTGTATATTACCTTACGATCAATGTATTGTTCAAAATATTTTTGGACAGTTAATCAAAGATAAAAAATTTAATGAAATTAGCAATTGTGCAATTTTATCTGCAAGAAATGTTGATGTTGATAACATGAATGATAGAATTACAAATTTATTTGACAAAAACATGGAACGCATTTACACTGGGATCGATAGTATAGAAAATTGTGATGTTGGTGAAATGGAAGATATCCTTTTACCAGAATATCTCAATACTTTGAATCCACCTAACTTTCCTCCTCACAAATTGCGTTTAAGAAAATATTGTATAGTCATGTTAGTCCGAAATATAAGTCTTAGTGAAGGATTATGTAATGGAACACGACTACAAATTATTGATTTCTCAAATCATTTATTAAAATGTAAAATATTAACAGGAGACAAAAGCAATAACGTTGTATTTCTCAATAGAATCACTTTGTATTATGAAAATCAATATCCATTTACTTTCAAAAGACGACAATTTCCAATTCGATTAGCTTTTGCTATAACGATCAACAAATCTCAAGGACAAACTTTACAAAAAATTAGTATTGATCTTAGAAGAGATGATTTTAATCATGGTCAGCTTTACGTTGCTATGTCCAGAGTTAGATCATGGGATTCATTGAAAATTTATTTAGGAAATCAAAGACAAAATACTTTAGTGAAAAACTACGTATACACTGAATTATATAAATAAACATATTCACTATAGTATCATGATGATTCACAAAATAAATTATTAAAGATAACCAACGCTCTTTATGTATTTTTTGATTATTTATGAATTTGTAAGTATTAATTTCATTTAGGCGCGCGAAGCGCGCTATGATGTCCTAGTTAGATATATTTCGAATGGTATTTTTTTGACTGTCTACTACACTTTGTGGGCTGGAGTAGGGGGGGTTGTATCAAATCTTATGGTATGTTACTGTGCACAATATAGTTTATGTATATAATAAAACTGCACAATAGTCGGCATGCCTATAGGTTTCACCTGAATATCCAATACAAAATTATATAAATTCCATTAGAAGATCGATGGATATCCAATTGGATATGCAGTTAAATATCCTATTGGTTATCCACCTGAAAATCTACACGAGATTTTTTCAACCAAACATTTAAGAGGATGTCATAATAAATTTCTGCTTAGGGAGAAACCATTATAAATCAATAACTTTCGGTTTGTTTTAAAAATCACAAATATCCCGCATTCGTTAAATCTTGAATTACCTGGAATGTCCTTAAATTTCGTAAAAAATTAATGAATGAAAATAAAGAAATCAACAACCTTCATAGGAGGGTGTTTATAGCAAGTAATATTTCAATTATTGATGCCTGTTATATATATATATATATATATATATATAAGAATCTACAATATTTGTAACTTATTATTTGCTATGACATCCACAATCTTATTTTCAAAATATGATCTTATTTATATATTTACTTAGACGAAATATTTATGTTGTAAAAAATTTTTCAAATAACATTATTTTGTTTTCATATCTTAGAAAAATATTGTAATTGTCATCAAATAAAGTTGTGGTATGTCTGATTAACTAGACAACTAAAGACTCATAGCATAATGGTAAACTACAAGGTTTATAGTATCATGGTTTCAAGGTTGATTCTCAGACAAAAAATTTTTGTATTGTTGGTAATTTCCCTGTTAATGATATTATTGAAGACATATATTTGATGATATTTTTTGAATAAATTGCTGATTAGATTCTTATAAATGTTTTTTTAAAATAACATTATTCACTTATAACAATGTTATTACTGAACGTTATTGAATCTGTGGTAATACTGCTAATTTATAAAAGTATAAATTTAATTGTTCAAAACATATATAATTAAATAATTTAAATTTATATGTTACAAATATTTAATAATTGATATTTACTTATCAACTTATTTTTTTGTACGTATTTTTAAAGCTATAATTTTTTTTTAACGTTATTTATTATAAAAATACTTTACATGCCTTTATTAATTTTATAAACAATTTAAGGTACACTTTATGATAAAATGACTAATATTATCTACTATGATCCAATTTTTTATTCAAACTCAATTTTCCTCGATAAATTTGAATGCTTAAGAAAACACTATTATAGAATCTGTGGTTTTTTTATACAAAAAAAATTTTTGAGTCAGATGTTCCTTAATCTGTTTTTGTTACTGAAAAAAAAAATAAGATAATGTACAAAGGCAAAATTTATAAAATAAAATTAATTTTCAACTTTAATCTGAAAAAAAATTATGATAGTTATCACTAAACAACTATGAAAATGTATTGGTGAATTTTCACTATAAAACAATGTATTTAGTTTAGACAAGCACTTGAAAAAGAAGTAACTGCTATCACTATGTTTTTAAATACACATACATGTATATTAAATTATATTATATATTATATAAATTAATAGATATATATGTATGTAAGCTACAACTCCTTTAGTCTAGAAAGGAAGAAAAATAGAGGAAAAATAAACTAATTTAATACTACAAGGATGTAAAATATAATATAATAAATAAATTAATAAAAAGAAAGCAAACATACTATTATTGTAAACCCACCCTGTACACACACTACTAAAAAATGAACAAAATGTTCAATTATAAATTTGTAACTCGATATGTTAAAAGAAGTATTACTCTGAGTGTGTGTGTGTATGTGGTGTGTGTGCGCGCGTACATTTGTATGTACATGTGTGTGTCTATATATGCCTGCTGCTCTATAAATTTTTATAAGAGAATCACACAAATATGTACATTTAATTTAATTAACAATGCTATAAGAAATAGTTAATATAATTTATATTAATTGCCTAATGATAATAAATAATTAGCTACTCAGTCTAGGTTTAAGTTCTGCAATAGTGATTATATTGTATTTGTAAATGAGAATCATTCAATACATTACTAATTTAGAAGAAAACAATCATTATTTAAAGACTATTCAATGATTGATAGGTTTCATGCAATTAATCATAAATTTATATTCACTTCAACTTAAATAAGTAGTTAAGAATATAAGTAGTAATATTTTTCAATCATTATTGACAAACTTGAAACTTTCAATAATAAAGATAAAAAGTTAAGAAAACGAATATTATTACTTTCAATTGTTGATATTTATTTATGCAATGTCAAACGATGAAATTGTTGGATGCAAATTCTCATGTTTTGAAAATATGTTTACTGAATTTGGATCACTTATTAATAGGAACAAATTTTCACTATCTAACATATTATAGGATGATGACAAAGATTTTGAAACTATCTATATAGGGATATATACATATATATTATATTCACGCACACAAACTCATGCATATGTATATGCACATCCATATATGGTGTGTGTATGTGTGTGTAAACAAACTATCATGAAAATTGTTCAAAGATGCTCCAAATATGGCAACAGATGTGAAATTGGAATCACTGGGACTGTATAAAGGAGATCTTAAAAGGTAGCACCTAAGAATTTCAATATTTAATAAATCTATAAACTAATAACCGTTCGATTAGGTGGCTTTAATTGTTCACATGACCTTTGTGCGTCGATTATGCTACTTTCATTTATGCGAAAAGCAGATAAAATCAATTATAGATGCTGGTCCTAACACCTAGATTTAAATCGCCAAATATGGTGATTTCTATAGTGAAAATCATTTTTTATGATGTACCAATCGTTAGTGCGTATCACGAATTATTGACACCCAATATAAAATTATTAAAAAGTTTATCACTTATTTAATTAAAATAAAATAATCTTCTTGCATATTTTCAAAGGTTATCACATTCTTTCGCGCATGCGCTTTAAATGAAACATTGTTGCTGAGTCGGAAACTCAGCGCTAGTTAGTAATCTGAAGTAAACTAAATTAAACTGGAGAATTGTTGTTCAGTTCACGAGTTCATCTGGAACGTGCCTTTTACTGAGATACTGAGACGTTTTTCAATTGAGCGAGTAAAACATATATTCAGGCTGAATTTGAATATTTATTTATATAATACGGTAGCAGCTCTTTAATGTTATCATTATCTTATTTCTAGCAAATAATATTCAAACTGTCAGAGATGGTGAAAATATTTACATAAGAGTAGCACTGCAGGCAGAGTATTAAAATTGGCGCATTCATATTGGATCAAATATACAGGAACACATAATCTGGTATGTAAGCTTATTCACTAGCTTTACTCAATGATATCTGTTACAATGTAATTAAATATGAATTGTAAATTAAATTTAACAATTAACTAACTATTATTTAACAAGTAATTAATTAAATTTAACAAGTAACTAACAATTAAATTGTAGTTAAATGCAAAATGAGCGAATGAGTGATAAACTTATAATGAAAAGATTTAAAGGATCTAGAATTCAAGTTTCTAATCCTAAGGTAAATAAATATATCTGTACACAGTATCAGTATGGCTGAATTAAATCAAGTTCTTAGTTCTAAAATAAACAAATATACTTGTATATAATACGATCAGTTTTGTTTGCTGGCTAAGTTGAATTATTAATTTTATTTTATGAATTTAAGTTGTTCTGGCTTATACATCTGATATGGAATGTGGCTTTTGTTTTGATTTCTGCTTGCAATATTCCAACATTCCTATGATTAGTATTATAATAACTGGTAGGACACCTTCAGGCACACTTATCTTATTACTAGTGGACGAAATAAACGTATAATTTAAACTTTTATAGAATTTAAGTTTTTATTATAAATTTAATTATGTGACGATGAAATTATACACATAATTTTTATAATAGATCTGAAGAATGTAAACTATCAGAATTTATACTCGAAGCAGAGGATAACAAAGAAAATATTTCCATAATCATACATAATAAATAAATTTCATTTGCAATTGACTTTCGAACCAAATGTATTAAGTGGAGTCGTAAAGTTACACGGTTCAAGGAAGGTCAGACGATTAGTTATTTCAAAATATTTTAGCTTAGCTGTGGCCTAATAAACGCGAATATTTCGATTTCGACGCGCGCATTCCGGTACGATTGCGTGTTGAGCGAAATAACGAAATAAAAACGGATTAACTACCCCGTTACAAAATATTACAGAAACATTTCGTAAATAAATTAGAACGATTTCATCAAAATATTTCTACAATATTGGAAAAATATTTTATAAAAATATTTCTTGTCAACTTTCGAAATATTAGAGGTAAGTAGGTAAAGTGGGAATTGTCTATAAATAATTATCAAAATTTCTTGTGATAATTAGTTTATTTATTTATAACTTATATGTTACATTTAGTTTTCATTTCTTAAATTACAATTGTGTCTCGTGTCCAGTTTGTGTAATTGATAATGTATGTGTTTTGTGTGTGTATATATGTGTGTGTGTGTGTGTGTTTTGTGTATATGTGTACGTATGTAGGTGTGACTGCAACTCTTGCGTCCCTGCCATCTGCTTCTGTCTGTCCAGCTTTTCTTCCCATTTTTCTGTTGATTAATCTTCTCTTCCTCTCTCTCTCTCCGAGATCTACCTTTTCCGCTCTTGTTTTTCTCTTTCTTGCTTATTTTCTTTTCGACTTCTTCCTTTGTTACTTTCTTTTGCCTTTTCACCTTTGCCTTTACTTTGCTTTTGCTCTCCTTCTTGCTAATCATTTCATCTATCTTTCTCCTTATTAAGGCTTTGACACCTTTGTCTTGTTTCCTATTGCTCCCTCTGCCTTTCCTTTTCTCAACCTCACTTATTTTTCCTTAGTATCTTATGATTTGCCTTCTAGTTTATCTTTTTCTTTCTCTTCTTCGATTCTTCTTCTTTTCCATTTTGCTCCATCCTCCAATACCTGCTTCCTCTCGCTTGTGTAGTTGCTGTTACTTGTGTTTTGTGTGTGTGTGTGCATGTGTATGTTTATGTTTGCGCGTATGTTTGTGTTTTGTGTGTATGTGTACGTATGTAGATGTGTCTGCGAGTCTTGCGTCTCTGTCTTCTGATTCCTTCTGTCCTTAGGGTCTTAAAATTTCGACTTCTTGTTTTTCTTTTTCTTTCTCTTCTTCTTTTCTTCTTCTTTTCCATTTTAGCTTAATCATCCACGCTATCTTTTCTTTGCTTCCTATTATTATTTTTTCCCATTCTTCCCCATCCTTTTTGCATTTTTCACATTTTTTTACTATGTGCTTCCAATTTTCTTTCTCTTTCATACACATTCTGCATCTCTTATTTTCTTCTTTTTCCCAATACCTGCTTCCTCTCGTTTCATTACCTAACCTAAACCATTCCCTTATTTGTAGGCCTTTTATTCTTCCCTCTCCTTGAATTTCCTTTAATCTGTACTTTTTCATTTTTTCTTTCAGTTCTTTCCACTCGTTTATGTATCTTGACTTTTATAGCTTTTCTTCTATTTCTTTTTCGTCTTTTTTCTTTAGCTTTTCTGTCATTTCGTCTCCCTCCTCCCTCTCTCTATATATTTTACTATTTTCTAGCTTTTCCTCTCTCTCCTTCTTACCCTTTTAATCTTTTTCATTTCTTTTCCTTTTCTTTAATTCTCTCCATGTTTCTTATTTTATTGAGCCATCACTTTCTTCTCTTATTTTGTTTTCATACCTCATTGCTCTTTATAATGCTATTTCTATCATATCTTGTTTTCCTGTTTCCCATCGTATTAAGTAACTTGGAGTGTTTCTATCTAATACCAATACCCACTTTATGTATTTTAGTCGTAATCTCTCTATTTCTTCATAGTTGTACTCTTTAACCATCTCTATCTTCTCACCTTCTCTTTCGAATTCTTCTTTCTTGCCCCTTCCTCCTCCTCTCCAGTATTTCATCATCTTTGATTTTCCTACATTTAGCTCTAATCTCCTTTCTTCCAGGTACCTTTTTAATTTTTTCAGCATTGCTTTCATTCCACTTTCACTTTTTGCCATCATCACTATATCATCTGCATATCCTAATGTCCATATTTACTTCCTAGCTATCACTAACCCTCCTTCTTGCACCTGTTTGATCTTGACTTCCAGTTCGGCGAAGGCAAGATTAAATAGCGTGGTGCTCAAAGGGCACCCTTGCCTTACGCCTTTGTAAGTCTCGAACTCCCCAATTATTTCACCTCCAACTTTTACCTTACTCTCTGTTTTCTTATATATTTCTTCTATTCATTTGCTAATTTTTCTATTTATCCCTTTCTCTTTCATTATTTCCCATTTTTTCTTCCTCTTTATCTTGTCAAAAGCGGCCTTCATGTCGGCAAAGAATACAAACAGTTTTCCTCCTTTTCTTCCTGAATCCCATCTGCGTATCGCTTAGCGTTTCTTTAGCTTCTAGTTCTCTTTCCAGCTTTTTCTTCAGTATTTCCGCATATATTTTATATCCCGTGTCCATCAGCGTTATTCCCCTATAGTTTTCTTCTTCTTTTTTTTCCCTTTCTTATATATTGGTACTATTATTCCCTTCCTCCATTCTTCCGGATATGCTTCTCCGTTCCATATTCCGTTTAAGCATTTTGCCATATGTTTTAACAAGCCTTCCGTGCCTTCCATCCACGCTTCATTCGCTATACCATCTTCTCCTGTCGCCTTTTTCATTTTTCTTATTACCTCTTTTACTTCTCTTACTTTAATCTCTTCACCTTCCTCTCCTTCGCTGTCTTCGGTTTCTTCCTCTGTGCTTTCTTCCTTTTCTTTCTCTCCCAGTTGTGCCTTGAAGTGCTTTAACAATTCTTCTTTTCCTATATTTTCATCTAATCCAATTTTTTTCTTCCTATTGTTATTCACGTTATCCCAGAATTTTCTTCTTGTCTTATCTTTTTTTATTTCTTTTGCCACTCTTTTGCCAATCTTTTCCCCTCAGCTTCTTTCGCTTTTCTTATTTCTTCTTTGTATTCCCTCTTTGCCTCGGTCTCCTTCCCCTTTTCTTACCTTATTTAACTCTGCCATCACCCTAGCCCTTTTTATCCTACATTAATCTCCCCACTAGCTTTTTTTCGATCCTTTTTTTCCCTTATCTTCTTTTTTACGACTGCGTTCCTCACTCTGTTTATTATCTCTTTCCATTTTTCTATTCCCTCTATTGCGTCTATCCATCTCTGATATTCTCTTATACCTTCTTCGCTCCAGTCGTTTACCATTCTTTCTTCCTCTTCTTTTCTTTCTTCTGCTATTTTGTCTCCCAATTCCACTTCTACAGATAAGTGGTCCGACTTTATCCTCTCTTTTATTTAAACCCTTTTTATTGCCTCTTCACCTTCCTCGTTACCTACTACATAGTCTATCGTTGACATTCCTCTCGCT